TCTCTCTCTCTCTCTCTCTATCTATCTATCTATCTATCTGTCTCTCTCTCTCAATTTTTAACTATTTCACTTAACAGGATTAAGTGGTGCTTAATACAAAGTATTCTTTACAATTTAAACAACACTTCACTTACTATTATAGATTTTTTGTATTAATAACTTCATTGCTTAGAAGAATTTCTTATATGGGTATCTATAGAAACGATTACCCTAATTTCTCAGTATATTTGACTAAGTATTAGTCAATATTTGAACAAGCTTTAGATAATAGATATTAAAAAGAAAATATTTGTAGTATAGATCAAGAGTTATTGGATCATCCATTTAGATCGGATACAATTATCGAATAAAAAGCAACCAAATATTAATTAATATTAATAATTTAATTCTATGAACGATCATCATGCGTACGCGCGACCATTAAGTGTTCATTTACGGGATATTTGGCTAACTCGTAAAATTATCTTCTTGATCATACCTTTATATCTTTCTATCTTTCTCTATCTCTATCTCTATTTCTATTTCTATCTCTATTTCTCTCTTACACACACACGCATAAGTTTTTTCTTTAAAGAAATATTTTAATTATGTACAAGGTGTCCCGTTAAAATCATTGACCAAAAAGAAAATTAAATAACAAGAAACGATGCTTTCTGTGAAAGCTTTCTATAGATTACACAAATTTACACATGCGTATATATTATAATATTATATAAACAACGAATTTTAATCGTTTTATTAACGATTTTGTTTCTTTTTTTGTTTGTTTGTTGGTTTTGTTTGTTCGTGTGTTACCATATTTAAAGTATTGATAAAAAAAGAAAAAAAAAATCTTATCGCAGACGTCGTGAAGATTGAATTTAATTAATTTTAATTAACTTTTGACAAATTATTACGAGAAAGTATGTGTGTGTGTGTGTGTGTGTGTAACACGTTATAAATATTATATATTATTTATTTTTATAAATGATGAGATAAAACTGACGTGATTCTTCTTTTTTTTTTTTTTTTTTTTTTTTCAATGATCGTAGATAAAAATGATTTTAATGGTCACGCTGTACATATATGCGGGACTTTTAAACTAACAAAAGAAAATAGTAATTGCATATATTGTTTTATTATTAAATTCGTTTACTTCTATCAATCTATTTTCTTTTTTTTTTTTAAATCATTGTTCAAATTTTCTCTCTCTCTTTCTCTCTTTATTTATCAATCTATCTCTCTCGCACACACATTTTGTATTAAATCATGTATCATATTGATTAGTATTTATTATATTATCTTTATTTAAAAAGATAACACACACGACTCACAGAGATCGCGGATCAATAATATCTCAAATTATTGTACACAGATTTGTTTTATCGATCATATTTTATTTTACAATTGAAAAATTGTATTATCTATGATCAACACAATTTTGTTATATTTGTTATTATTTATTTGTTTTAATATTATTATTATTATTATTATTATTATTATTATTAATAATATTATTATTATTTTGATTATTTTGATTATTTTGATTTTATGAAAAAAGAAAAAAAAGGATTATTCTATTAAAATCTTTCGAGCGATTATTATTACTTAAATAAAACAGGCATCCATCATGTGTCAATTATCAAATCGCGTATTTAAATAAAAACATTTTAGCGATAATGTTTATTAGACTCTCTACGATTAGTTTAAAGGGATGACAACAGAAAGAATATAAACAAGTTTTAAAACTAAATATAAAATATAAACACAAAGAAATTAAATTAAATTAAATTAAATAAACGGAAACTAAAATTAAATAAAACTAAATTAAAATTTAAATTAAACACTCTGAACTATATATAAAAATATATATATATAAAGTGTAAAAAAATACAAAGAAAAAATTAACAAAATTAATGATAACGATCATGTAGTTAATGACAATTTTAAAATTGATTCATAGCTATTTAAAGATAATGAAAAGAAAAAAAAAAGAATAAAACAAGTTTATCTGAATTTACATTACTGACGCATCGAGAAAAATATTACATACGAGCAACGTAATTTTGTTTTCTTTTTTTTTTTTACAAACAAATTTAGAATTAAGAATAAAAAATGATAATTAAAATGAAATATGTACAAAATTGTTCGCACAAAACCTTATTGTCATTATTATTATTATTAATGATTATATTTTTGTTTTGTTTTCATAATTATTGTTTTATTGTTTGTATTATTTATTCTCAAAACTCTCTGGTCATACTGTATTAAATATTATTAGAGATAAATTTATAATGATATTCGTTATTTAATATATTTCTCGACGCCACAGATTAGGCCAATTTCTCGCTAAAGTATTGGTTTATATATATATTATAT